TGGTACTGTGTGTCAGATTTTTCCTGGTCTCTTCTTGCCTCAAGGAACTGGGGATATTGTTACCTTGCTTAAAATCAGGTAAATGCTGTGGTCAGGGAGACATGAGAGGCCCTTTGCAACCTGGTCCCCTCCCACTGGTGTTCCTCCCCCTCTCCCCCAACTCACTCTCCCTGATTTTCCTTCCTCCCCCTCCCTTGCCCCACCTACCCCCCACCCCACGCCAGCTAGCCCCACTCTGCTCAGGCCAGGCCTTTTCACACATGGAAACCTCTGCCTGGAATGCTTTTCTTCCATTCCCACAGCAGTCTGTTCCTTTCCTCCTTTCCCTCCTCACTGCCAGTCCCCCTCCCGGCCCATTCAGGGACATTAGTCACTTAAACCTCTGGGTCTTCTAATTCTCTCCTTTAGCAGTTAGCTGGTGTTGTAGTAATTCAGTTACATGCCTAGCTCCCCAGTAGGCTCAACTGGAGATTGAATAACCTTCCTCCTGTCGTGGTGCCTGGTACACAGAAGGAACACAGTAAATGTAAGTTAAGTGCATGCCTTCTCTTCATCTTGCTTCTCTCTCTCCTGTGCTTCAGGCCATGAGGTTTCCTCCCAAATCATACAACAAGGACTTGGAGTCTGCAGAGGTAAGGTGCCTTCTGCTTTAGATCTGAAACATCAGACTTCCTCCAGAGAGGGAAGAGGGAGGCGGTTTCTGGAAAGGCTTGGAGCAGCTCCGAAGCTTTGGCAGTCCCTGACCTTGGGCTGGGTGAAGCACTGTGTGAGAGTCCCACTGGTCCCCAGCAGCCCAGCCCTCACCCCACCTCTTGCTCCAGGAACGGCGTGAGCGAGAACAGCAGGACTTGGAGTTCGCCAAGGAGATGGCAGAAGATGATGATGACAGCTTCCCTTGAGCTGGGGGGCTGGGGAGGGTTGGGGTGAGTGGGAACTGGCTCTTTATCTTTCCCCCTTGGGGTACCCTGCCTGGGGAACTGGCCCCTTTCCGTACATGTCTCACAGACTCATATGTGCGGGGGGTGAGGGGTGCAGGGAGCCGGCCACCCCCACCTCACCCCAGGACCCCTTCCCAGCCAGTGACATAGCACACGGTGGGCAAGAAGGTGGGCAGGCAGCCTCCCCAGGGCAGGGTCCTGGCCAGTGGTGTGGGCAGCAGGATGGGAGGGAATAGCCCTGTGCTCTCCCGGGAGTCAGGGACTGGAATTGGGACATGTGCTGGGATGTATGTTTTTTGAAGCTTCAATTATGATTTTTAAACAATAAAAAGTTCTCCAAAGTTCTTTGTGCATCATTTAGTGACCGTACTTTGCTCTCACACTCTGCAGTGTTGACAGCCAGATTTTTCTATCCTGGTCATGGGAGGACTAACCCAGTGTGACTGTGGATGAGGACAGGGCCAAGGGCAGGGGGAACCAAGGGCAGGGGAGTAGATGCTGATCTGACATCAGAAGGGCCTCTCTCCTCTCTAACTGGCTGGCCAATATTGGGCAAGTCACTAAACCTCAGACTCCTTCCCCACATTTGTCCAATAAAGGATTAGACTCCTGAGCTGGCTCTGAAGTTAGAAATCTAGACCTCTAGAGGATCAAGGGAAAGGCAAGGGACTGGCCCTCGGGTGAGGTCTGCAGAGGAGAGAAGGGGCTCCAGAAGTGGAGAGCAGGGCTTTGCTCAGTTGGCCCTTAAGGGATGGGAGAGCAGAGCTGGGTCAGGCAGGACCCGGCTCCCTGTGGCCCCGCCTACTTACTCCAGCTGTGGACTGGAGTGGAGGTGGGGGGAATGGGTCTGGGTAGGTCTGGAAGTCTTGGCCTCTAGGGGTGCTGCTTCCCATCTTGGCTCATTGAATTGTTGCTGTGTGTGTGTGTCCCCTTTCCCCCAGCCCCTGGTACCTTGCTGTTTGTATCCTCTGTTCCTGCCAAGAACTCTGTTATCTGAGTGGGGCCTGGGGGGGTTTTGCCTCCTGATAACGGTGTTCCCTCTCCTGCTGTGCTCTGGCTCTCCAGCCCATGGATTTCTACACCTCCTCCAGGCTTCCTGCCTCACAATGATACATCCCCCTGGCTTCTGAAACACTCCCTTGAGATCAAATACTCCTAGGAGGTGGTATGAAAGTCCTAACTAGCTTGGAGATTCTTAAGAGAGCATGAGGCGGTTTGTGTCCTCCCGGCCCTTTGCCCAGTGCCTCATACCCTGGGTCCAATGAAGTCTTGTTTGTTAGGAAAGGTACACTCTGTTCATACCAACTGAAGATTTTCATCCCCCAATATCCCTAATTTCCGCTAAAGGTGTGTTTTAGACTGGCCTTGCTTTGGTTCCTGATCCCATCCCAGCCGTGGTCACAGTGACTGGGCATTGCCCACTTGCTTTAAAAAGCTACTGCCACCTCTCAGTGTAATGAAACTCTTAAAAAAAAAAAAAGATTTTCTGGGGGTGCCTGGGTGACTCAGTTGGTTAAGCATCTGATTCTTGATTTCGGCGGGGGTCATGATCTCAGGGTTGTGAGACTGAGCCTTCTGTTGGGCTCTGCACTGGGCGTGGACCCTGCTGAAGATTCGCTCTCTCTCAGCCCCCACCCCCGACCCCAGGTTCTTGTTGGAGCACATGCAGTCTCTAAAAAAGAAGGAAAAAAAAAAAAAAGACTATTTTTAAGTAATCTCTACACCCGATGTAGGGCATAAACCTACAACCCCAAGATCAAGTGTCACATGCTCTACCAACTGAGCCAGCCAGGTGCCCCAAGGTTATGAATCTTATAATCAGCACCCAGCCCAAAGTGCCTTAGACCCTCTCCTGGTTGGTAACAGATTGGAGAGTGTCACCCTGGTCTAGAGAATTGGGGGTCATTTGCCATGATTTCCTGGTTCTTGCCCACCTTGAATCTATGGACTAGTTTTCTGTCTGCTCACTGGAAGTTTCTTGTAATTCATTCCCAGTGGCTTGGTTTTCTCTTCCTGGAGAAGCTTAGTGTCCTTTTTATGCCCACAGAGTTCACAATGCACTCCACGTTCTGTTTTTTTGTTTTGTTTTGTTTAGAGAACTACAGAGAAGCACGAAGAATAACATAACAAATCCCCACATATTTCCACCCAAGTTTAATAAATGGTGACATTTAGTTATCATTTCAAGTTTTCTCAACGGAAGAAAACCATCACAGCTCAGAAACCTCATCACAGGCCTTTCCCAGGCCCTTCCCTACCTTCCCTAGAGGCAGCCACTCCAATGAATTCAGTGGGTAGCCCTCCAGTTTGTCTTTATACCTTGTGTTATGCAAAATATGGTAGTGTTTTGCATTTTTAAATCTTTTAAATGACGTATCTATCAAGTAAATGTAACTTGCTCTCTTCACTCAGTCTTGGTTTTGTGATCTAGTGTTGATACCATTCCTAGCACTTTCCTAAGCACTTTGAAACAGCACAAATAAAGCCAGTTAATTCCTTTCCTCATGGAGTTTTCATCCCATGAGGGGCTGAGGTGGAGGCATCTGTGGACATTGATTTATTTAGCCCTTTCCTGACTGGTGTGCAGCGATTTGCTCTGACAGACAAGGCCCCAGAGGACAGCTCTGTGTTCTCCTGGTATGCAGGGACAGTGGATGTGATGTGCAAACTTTTCTCAAAGGGCCAGATGGCACATTTTTAAGGCTCATGAGCCATATGGTCTGTCACAACTATTCATTTCAGTTCTGCCCTTCTTGAAAGCGGCTGTAAACAATATGTAAACAAATTAAGAACACCAGGGTTTGAATTTCATATGACGTTTACATGTTAGGAAATATCCTTTTGATTTTCCCCCCAACTTAAAAATGTAAAACCCGTTCTTGACACGAGGTGTCCATATCTTGGCTCCCAGGCTGAGTCTGCAACAAATGAGTCACCCGAGAACCCTTTGAGAGATGCTCCGGGTCCTGTACCAGATGAAAACAGGAAGCGTGAGGGCAAGTCTCCGGCCAGTTCTGGCCATTGAGAAACACCTGGGAAAGCCTTCAGGAAGCTGGAAGGCGGAATGACTGCCAGGGGTCTCCAGAGCCAGGCCCTTTGCCAGAAGATCATTCTGGTCTGGCTCAGCCTGTGCGACCTGGCTAGTGACAAACCCTGGCTCTCTACCTGGTCTTTATCATCCCATGCATAGGGCTGAAATGTGGATCGAGCCCTCCTCTGGGGGGAACGGCTCTCCGAATAGGAAGGTAATGTAATGGAGATGGTGCAGGCTGGGGAAACCTGACTCTCCGTCCCGGTTGACCTGGCCTGGACACCAACTCCTTCTTTGATCTGAGGCAAGACCCTTCGCCTCACTGACCTGCCCTTTGTCTCTAATGAGAGCGATCCACATCCTTCCGCTCGGTTTGGAGGATGAATGACGCAAGTGTGATGGAAGGTGCCTGACATATAAGAGGTGTCCAATAATTACCAGCTGAATTTTGGATTCTTTCCCTATGGAATGGAGGCCAGAATGCTTCCGGAGACGGGTGGCTCACTCCCCCTGGAAGCAGCCCACTCCATCTTCTCACACTTCTGACTGCTGGAAAGCTCTTTCTGTTGATAGGAAAACTCGCTGGCTGTGGCTTGCGCTCCTTGCCCCACTTCCAGCCCTTGAGACCAGGCAACAAGCCCTTCCTTCGCTCCCCCAGTCAGAACAGCCTGTTTTCTTCAAAATCTGATCCTGAGTCCTCTCACCATCCTGGCCACCTTTGTCAGAATTAACGTATTTTCTCAACCAAACGTCCTATGCACTTGGACTGTAGGTGAATTGATAAGAGTCTGGGTCTAGGTCTGCCAGGCCAAACAATGATTAAGGGATTTAATGGCAAAGAGGCACCTGGATGGAAACATCGGTTGAGCATCCAACTCTTGATTCATCTTCTGTAAAATGGGAAGTGGTTCCAGTACCTTCCTCATAGACTCACTGGAAGTCATACACTCAATAATGTGTGGAGAGTGCTCAGCACAATGTCTGGGGCCAGCGGAGTCCTCTGGAGGTTCTTTGAGGGAGGGTGAAGGGACATGTTTGTGAAAGTGAATGTCCTGCCCTCCGCAGTTCTAAACCCACCCCTGTGCTCCCGGAGAGCTGGACGCAGAGCTGGCCTCAGTGCAGGCGCAGGCACGGTGGCCAGCCTGCGTGAGGTGGAGTGGCCAACCCTGTCCCCCCACCCCACCAAGCCCACCCGGTGGGACAGGGGACCTGAGGCAAGAGAACAGATCAGCAGGTGAAGTCCCTGCCTGCTGTGGCCACCAGGGGGCACCCGTGCCCCAGAGATGGCCTCACCCAGGCAGACACACCCACTCCTTATCAAAAGGTGTCCGTTCCTTGGCTCCCCGCTGAGGTAAATTGGGACGGAAAGTGACAGCCTTGGGTGTGGTCGAAGGATTGCTAGGCAGGCCCAGTGGCCTGTAGGAAACCCTCAAGCCTGAGGTGAATTTCCAGGCTGTAACTCCTAAAATTGAGTCTGCTCTCCTTGACCTTGGGCAAGGCACATCCCTCTCTGGCTGGGTTCAGGGGGTGTAGACCAGATTCCAAGACTTGCGTAGTTCTAGGATTTGAGGCTGTTTGCAGTTTCTTCTTTCTCACCCCGAACCCTTCTCCACCTCAGGGCCGCACACACTCTGGCAGGCGGTCAACTTGGCCAGGGAAGACACGTGTCACAGACCCTCCCCCAGCTCCAAAGCGCTGGGACACCATTGGAGGGAGAGAAACTCCGGGAGGAAGAGGAAGGGCAAGGTCAGGTGAACCAAGAGACCCAGAGCCTCAAGGGTCTTGCTTCATTTGGGACAGACATCCGGTTTCCTCTGGTTTCTGCCAGGATTCCGGGGGCTTAAAGGAATGAGTCACGGGGGGTATTGGGGAGTTCCCAGCTAACCAGTTCAAGACAGGAATCTGGTACGCTGCCCATCAATGTATGGGGTGGAGACAGGAGGCAAGACCCCAGTGTCCCTACCTCAGGCCCCTGGCCCCTCAGGAGGGGACTTGGGAAGGCAGCCTTCTGGGAGCTTGGGGGGGAGAAATGGGGACAACTAGGGGTGCCTGGGTGGCTCAGTGGGTTAAAGCCTCTGCCTTTGGCTCAGGTCATGATCCCAGGGTCCTGGGATCGAGCCTCAGCCCCACATTGGGCTCCCCTCAGCAGGGAGCCTGCTTCCCCCTCTCTCTCTGCCTGCCTCTCTGCCTACTTGTGATCCCTGTCTGTCAAATAAATAAATAAAATCTTTTTTTAAAAAAAGGATTCAATTTAAAAAAAAAAAAAAAGGAAAGAAATGGGGGCAACTAGCTTCTTCCCTCTCAGAATTCGGGGTCTAGGGAGCAGGTAGTTTGGGAGTCCCAAGGGAGAGTGCAAGGGGGCATGCTCCCCCTCCTCTGGCCAGGAGGGAAGTAGGGAGGGGCCGCTTGGAGACCAGCCTCCTACCGGGTCAGGCTGACCAGCCTCCAGCCTCCACCAGGCACAGCCTCCCTCAGCGGTTCTGATCAAACACCCTGGGGCAATTTCGGGCCTGGGTGGGGCTGAGAGGGAGGAAGAGCATTTGAGGGGGACCAGACGTCAAAGAAAGAGCAGGGATTCCACAATTTCACAAAACTTTCGCAAACGGCTTCTTGTCCCAGCCCCCCTGCATTGTCCTGGACACCAAATTTGCATAAATCCTGGGAAGTTATTACTAAGCCTCAGTCGCGGCACCAGGTAATTTCCTCCCAGGCCTCATGGGCTCCCGTATAAAGGCCCTGTGCAAGCCGGTCCCTGCCAGAGCCTGGCGCCCACAGACCCACCCAGACCTTTGGCTGAGCCTACTGCCCAGAGCCCCATGAAGCTGACCGGTGAGTGTCCCGGCCACTGGGGGAGCGGGGGCCGGGGGAGGCTGGAGTGGCAGAGGGGCTGAGGGGCCCAGGTGGAAGTGGACCGCCTGTCTCCTGAGTACCCCTGTCTGCTCTCAGCCCTGCAGCTGCTATTGTGGTATGAGGCACTCTGGCTGGTTCAAGCAGCCGCCCCCCTGGGCCCTACCAGCTCCCTGCCCCAGAGCTTTCTGCTCAAGTGCTTAGAGCAAATGAGGAAGGTGCAGGCTGACAGCACCGTGCTGCAAGAGAGGCTGGTGAGTGAGAGGCGCCGAGGGGACGAGGGGACGTGGATGCTGGGAGAGGGCCAGTGGAGGAAAGAAGAGGGCATAGCTGCAGGGAGGGAGGAAGGGGGAAGTGCTGAAGGGAGGGGGAGGGAATGGTGAGAAGACATCATCAGGGAGGGGCATGGCAAAGGAAAGACCCCAGGGGAAGGGGAGGAGAGTCAAGAGAGTGGAGCTGCGGAAGGCTGGCTGGGAAGTGTCTCAAGGACAGTGCCCGGATGGCCCAGATTCTAGATCACCATGGAGGGCAGAGTGGGGCTGAGCGGCCTGGCAGGACTGGGAGGGAGGGGAAGACCTTGGAGAAACGGGGAGGACTTGGGAAACAAGAGCAGCCTGGCCCCTCAGTTCCCCCTCATGCAGCATCCTTCCTATCCCCAGTGCACCACCCACAAGCTGTGCCACCCCGAGGAGCTGGTGCTTCTCGGACACGCTTTGGGCATCCCCCAGCCTTCCCTGAGTGGCTGTTCCAGCCAGGCCCTGCAGCTGGTGAGTTTCTGGAGGGGTAGAGGGAGTGGAAAGGAGGGAAGAACGGTCTGGAAGTCTCTCTAGATCTCCAGGCCTTGAAAGGAGCACCCGGGCAGCACCCCTTAACTCCGCCACTCTGTCCCCCAGACGGGCTGCCTGCGTCAACTCCACAGCGGCCTCGTCCTCTACCAGGGCCTCCTGCAGGCTCTGACAGGGCTACCCCCTGAGCTCACCCCTGCCTTGGAAACGCTGCAGCTGGACATCGGCGACTTCGCCATCACCCTCTGGCGGGAGGTAAGCCTCACTGCGAGCCACAAGGGTTGGGGGCCTGGACTGAGCTGGTCCCCAGAGATCATGCTGCAAGCCTGAGGATCCCAGTTCTTTGGGGTCAGCGTGGGAGGCTTCTCAGGGCAAGAGAACTCCCACTCCAGGCCCCTCTTGCTGCCAGCCCTTCACTCTCCCTAGATGAGGGCGGGAGCCAGACCCTGATGTAGACCTGGGTTCAAGGCCAGCCTCCACCATTCACCCATCAACCGTGTGGTCTGATCCCGCACACCCTCGCAGCCCTTCGCATTTCCTTCGCTAATCATGCCCACTTAGCAGATCTCCTCTTCCCCCCACAGATGGAAGAGCTGGGGGTGGCCCCAACAGTGCCACCCACCCAGGGCGCCATGCCAGCCTTCACCTCGGCCTTCCAGCGCCGGGCCGGAGGGGTCCTGGTGGCCTCCAACCTGCAGAGCTTCCTGGAGCTGGCCTACCGTGCTCTGCGCGCCTTTGCCAAACCCTAAGCAAAACCTTCCCCAACCAGTGTATTTATCTTTATTTAATATTTATGCTTATTTAAATCTAATATTTAAAGACAAGAAAAAGCAGGAAGGAGCCCCGGACTCTTGGGTCCTTCCTGCCGTCTCTGAGTTCTGTTCTCCTGCTTGTAGTAGGGAGAAAAGCCCCTGTCTTCCTGTCCCCTGGACTGGGAGGTAGCTAGGTAAATACCACGTATTGACTCCTGTGACTGCTCCCTGGCCTGGCTCTGTGGTGGGCACTGGGAAGAACCCCAGTGAACTCCTTACCCCAAGGGTACCCACCTTAAGACCCCTGGGAGCATCAGGAAGTCTCCCATGTGGGAGACAAGAAAACCCTGTTTAATATTTAAACAGCAGTGTTCCCCTCCTGGGTTCCCCCTCGCTCTGGCCTCACCAGCTCGGCTTGCACATGCCCAGTGGGCCAGGTCTTGCTTCTCCTCCTGTCTATCCCCTTCCCCACAGGCATTAGGCCTCGCAGGAGGCCGCCAGAGCAGGGAGATTTGACCCTGGGGTCCCACGAATTTGCTGGGGAATCTAGTTTTTAATATGTTTTTGGTAATACTTTGACTTCCTGTATGGGGAGCCTGGGCATTGTTTCCGTTCCTCAGCTTTCTGGATGCCCTAGAGCAACAATGACAGGCTCCTGGCACCTGCCCCACCCTCAACAGGGTCAGGATTCTGACCCTTCAAGGGCTGGGCAGAGGCTCCTGTATTGGCCTTGCTGGAGGGGGTGGTGGGACTGGGAGTGTTGGAGGGGAAGATGTGGAAGGTTATGTGATGGGGTATGTGAGAGGAATGCTCAACTCACCTTCCACCTCTGCCCCCACTTTCTCACTGTAGTCAAACTCTGATAATAAAATATCTTGTTTGTCTCCAATAAATGGCTTTCCTCCTTCTTGAGTCCAGCTGGTGCCTAGCCAGGGGTGGGGGAGCGGGGAGTCGAATGGTGAATGAGGCCAGAGGGACGGAAAGAGGAGGTGCAGGGAGGAAGGGGGGCAGTCCTCTAGCTCATCAACACTCACGCCCTTAGCACGGGTCTCTCTTGTACCTACTCTGCAGGAACTGGGCTAAGTGCTAGGGACACCGAAGTGGACAAGGCAGGCAAGGTCCCTGCCCTCACCGAGACGCAGTCTAGTGGGAAGACGGAGGCGGATGGGCCACCATACTGGGAGAGAACGTGGGGGGGGGGGGGGGGGGGGGGGAGTCTTAGATCAGGAGCTGAGTTCAAGATGCCAACTTAGGTCAGCACTCAAATTCCCGGCCCTGCACTTGTCTCCCTCAAGCTCTGCTTCTGATCGGGCGGGGAGCAACAGCAACCTCAGGCCAGCGGCCGCTCTCCTGCTGGTCTGGGCCTCAGGGGCCGAGCCTGAGCTCCCAGGGCCCGGGGACAGGTGTGGGTGAGAGAGAAGCAGAGCGTGGAGGGCTGCTTCACACCACAGGCCGGAAGTACTCCTCTCCGTGTCCTCAGCCTAAGACGCACCTATAGATCCAGGGTGCCTCCACCAGACCCGGGAAAGTCCAGATGGCCCGCCGGTCCCCAGTCCAGCATCTCAAGGCTTCCCCTGGGCTCCTCAGGCCCTCCCACTTCCCCCTCCATCTGGCTCCTTAGAGAGGAAGGTCTGGCTGAGAGGACCAGAATCCCCAGCTGCGTGGCTCAGAGCCACCCACCCCCACCCCGCCCCCCGCCGCGTGGTTGTGAAGAGGTTGGGGTTTGGAGATGTGTGAAGACAAGCAAGGGTTAAACCGATCCTGCCCCTCATCGCCCAGTCCTCTTCTGGACAGAGACAGGTCAGATTGAGCCAGTCAGGCTCTGGGTGGGGTTAGGTCTAGTGAGAGAGCGTCAGAAGGACAGGCCACCCTACCCCAGCACCAGCAGGGCCTTTCGCCAAAACTTCTCCCTTCTCAGAGTCAAGTCTGACTTTGGGGTGTGGGGTTAGGTGGCGCGCGCGAGTTGAGCCCTTACTGCCTGATGCTGGTCTGAGGAGGGGAAGCGCTTTCCCCGTTGAGTGGGCAGACACAGGAACCTGAGCCCAGCCCTCCTCAGCCACAGGACCGAGCCTCTTCCTTGGCCAAGCACACGGGCTTCCAAAGAGAAGACGTTCACTGCCTCCATGGGACTCGGGCACTGACACCACTTGGGACTCACACAGGGGCCCACAAAGATCTTTATTAACAAATGAGCTGAGAGAAACGTCCCTGTGTTACAAAAATATAAACATACAAACCCTGCACCTGCAAAATTCCCAGAGGTACATCGACTGTCGGAAGGGGGAGGGGTGTGGGGTGCTGAGGGCCCCGGGCTAACAGCCAGGCTACACACAGTCCTCAGTGCTGGCAGAGGGCAGAGGAAATTATGAAAGGAACTGGGAGACGTCTTAGAGGTCAGATGTCAGGCTAGGGGAATGATCTGGAAATGACATAGGGCTCTTACATCACGTGGATATGAGCAATGCTGTCTCATCTTTCCACACTGTTCCCTCGTCAGGCGCCTGGGGCTGTGGTCCCCCACTCGGCCCCTGCGGGCACTCCCCAGCCTGTCAGAGCGCAGCGATGGCCTTGGCGGCCACCTGGCGGCCCAGGGACAGACTGAGGTCCGTGATGGCCAGAACCACCTTGGGGCTGGACATGGCTGACACCTTCACCAGTTCTGATACCTGCCGCAGACAGACAAATGGCCGCTTGCAGGGGCTGCCTGCTGCGGGCTGCCAGGTCCCGGGAGGAAGGAGGCCCTCCTACTCTGAGGGCCGCCCCCGCACCCAGGCCCCCTAAGAGCCGCTGCCCCCACCTGGGCCTGGGGGCCACGCACTCACGGTGGTGAAGGGCATGAACTGCAGGATGCTGCCTCGGCTGCCCTGCTCCAGGCAATCCACACACTCCTCCATGAACCACTGCACAAACTGAGTGTGCGGGCCCGCGGTCCGCGAGCCCAGGATGGACGAGATGAGCAGGAAGAGGTTGGCTGCGCAGAAGCAGAAGGGCGGAGAGCGCGCACTCCGTGAGGAGGGTCTGAGAAGACGTTAGGCTGGGAGGTGGTGGCACCGAAAAGTGAGAGGAAAGAAGCCCTCAGAGTGCCCCTCAAATGGGGGTGGGGGGGTCAAAAAGAGGAAGTGTGAAAGGAAAGCAAGCAGGGGTGGGGAGAGGGACCCAACTGGAGCCTGGGGGCGACAGGAAAGCCAGTGGCTAGAGAGATGGAGGCACGAGACAGGGACACTAATGGGTGAAGGGGTACCAGGAGGTCCTCCTCTGGCTGGCAAGGCCGCAGCCCCCCGGGCCGGAGGGCAGTGGGTGACTCACCCAGGACTCGGTTCAGCGGGTCTCTCATGTTAACCGTGTGCAGCTGGGAGGCTGACAGGGAGCTGCTCATGGAGCGGTCGGCTGTGGGGTCAAGTGGAGGGAGCCTTAGGCAAAGGTCCCCTACCTTCAAAACCCCCTTCCCAGGGGACGCCCTCACCCGTCAGGTGTGGACGGTCAACCCAGGGAAGGTCCCGGATCCAGAGTCACAGAGATCTCAGTGGGAGATGAGAGAGAACACTTGGTGAGCACTGCCAAGCGCCAATCTGTGGGCTACACAAAGATCAGGCCGCACAACCCTCACACTCCGACTTCATGGACAAAGAAACGGAGACTGGGATTTGCTGAGTAATCAGCCAAAGGTCATAAGGTCTGTGGGTGCCAGACATAGCATCTCTCCTCTACTCAACTGCACAGCTGGCACCTTAATGCCTAAAAGGCCTTAGAGAAACTTCTAGACTCAAGAGAAATTTCTGGAAACAGGAAAAATTAAATGCCACAGAAGAAGCCCTTGGCAGGGAGAGGTAATGAGAGCAAGGGGAGCCAGAGGTGCTCTTCAAGCAGGAAGAGTGGGGAACAGATCCAGCCCCCAGCCTCAGGGTCCGTTTCAGGGGAAGGAAGGCCAGAGCTGGTGAGTCAAAGGCACAGACTGTGCCTGAGGTAGTGAACTCACTTGTGGTGAGTAAAGGGGAGGGAAGGGACAATGGTGTGTCCAGGGCTGGGCTGTGGTCTGGACGGAAGAGCTTCAGTCTTTGGGGGGAGGTCCCCAGCAACCTCTCTAGTCTCTCCACAGGCAGAAAACAGAGCAGCAGTGGTGGGGGGGGAAATGGGACAAACTCCCAGCGCATTCTCTCCAACCAGCAAAGATGCCGGTGGCCAGGTTCTATACCAAGCAGCTCTCCCAGGCGGGAGTGAGTTCCCGGGAAAGGAGGAGCCCACCCAGCCCAGTCCGCATGCTCACTGGGACTCGAGAGGATGTTGGCATCTTCCTCATTGGAGCTCAGCAGTCGCATCAGCTTTGAGGGCTGCATGTCATCCAAGGGGAAGAGACTGATATAATCCTGGAGAGCAAGAGAGGCACTATTACCGACTCCTGGGCCCACAAATCTCCCATTATCAGGAAGGAGAGCTGGAGCTCAGACAGGTGGGGAAGAGTCAGCTCCCCACAGGCCTCAGTGGGCATCCCCAGTAAGCCCAGCTTCCCCCACCCACCCACAACCCCAGTGAGAGTCCTCCTCACACAGTCACCCCTGGAGATGCTTGGCCAGGGGAGCCCCAACAAAGCCATCCAGGGGCGGGGCCGCTGCCTGGGAAGGAGTCTCTGACCCCAAAAGCCTCAGGAAATGTCTGTTGAGCACATCAACAAGTGAATGGAGGGGTCCCCTACCTCGATGTCTTCACGGTGTCTCTTCTTTTGGCGGGAGGATGCCTGTCCCTTATGGGAGGAATAGGAACTCAGGGCACACCAGACGGCTAGCCTGGCAAAGAGTTCCAGGGAAAGAGGGTAAAGTCAGAGGGCCCCAGAGAGGCCCTGGCAGACAGGGCGTCCCCACAGCCCAGCCTCCCTGGGCAGCCCGAGGTGAGGGGCAGCCAGCTGTGCGCTGTGGGGACCCGAGGCTCCGAGAGAACCCTACTTGGCCAGCGCGGTGCCGGGGGGGTCCATGAGGCTGTGCCACTTGGAGGAATCGGTGAGCAGCCCCGGCAGGATGTGGCCCAGCAGGACCAGGGTCACCTGCTGCATGTCCAGACAGAAGATAGAGTAGAGCAGCTCCACTGCCCGCAGCGTGTGCTCCTTCCGCGTCTCCTTCAGCAGCTCCTGGACGGCAGGGCGGGGCGGTTCAGGAGCTGAGGGCTCCTGCCACGGGCTTCCCAGGGCTCCATCCCTCACTCCGAACAGCCTCCAGCCAGCGCTCCCCAGAGCAGGCGGCTCCCCTCAGAGTCCAGGAGCCCCGAGACTGAGACCCGCAGACCAGGCTAGGGGTTATCTTCTCAGCTGTCTCCCGGAGTCTGAGGAGACCCACTCCCCCAGCCTGGGTCCAGGTGGGGGTCTGGCCCCCAGGTACCTTAATGAGGTTGTTGCAGAACCAGTAGACGCCTCCCATGTGCAGCAGGGTGTCAAAGATGTGGATGGAGCGGCTGTCCACCCACCCCTTCTCCAGCACCTTGGCAAATATGTCCGTCAACACCTCCTTGATGGGTCGCTTGGGGGGCAGCAGGTTCCAGTAGGGCATTGTGTCCACACCCGTGGACGGGAACTTGATCTGGGTGGCCGTCTGCTGCAGCACGTCGGCACACATGTGCTCCAGGATCGAGCTCATGATCACCACCCTAGGGGATAGGGACAGGACCTGATGTTCGGGTTCATGCCACACCAGGTTCAACAGTGCAGCAAACACCCAGGTCAGACCTTTCCCAGAACTCAAGTTACGGAAATGTTCCTGGGGAATTAACCCCGTTCTTCACAGAGGGAGGAAACAAAAGGTAGTCACAAGACCCTAGCAGACCTGACCCTACCAGTCCTGCTCTGGCAGGCCTCTCACCTGCTGGGCACAAAGCCTAAGCCAAGGAAGCAGTTTGCTCTCCTCCCCTAGGTTATTCCAACGATATGTTCATATTTTCTCTCTCACTATCTCCAACTTACCCCCATCCCCCAGACCTAAGCCCTGCCAATCCCTGGACATAAATAAATATAATCACTTCCCTCTGGGCTGAGTGCTGGGGGGTCCCCGCCCAGCCCTGGCCTCCTCCCAAAGTAAACTGTTACTTCCAGGACAGGGGCCCAAGGGCTGCCCCACAAGAATCTTCCCGGCCTTTGATAGCTGGGCAAATAGAAGCGTATATCCAGGAATTTTCTCACGAGCAGTCTTTGACTGAGTTAGCACTCAGATCCGGGTGTGAGTGCTCACTGTTCCTGGAACACTGGGTGGCTCTGGGAAAGCTACTGTGACTTTCAGCGCCACTTTTTCCACCTGCACAAGTACCCACAGATTCCCCACTATTCCTCACCCCAGGAGAAGTCAGGGAGCTTAGCACGGGTTCTGTCATAGCCTACCCTCCGTTACTTGTGGGAAGAATGATTTGAGGGAAGAAGGGAGAAGGAGGTGAGGAAAAAGGTCACAGCTTCACAGACCCTCTCCAACCATATCTCAGCACGATGTGCCCCCTTCTCCTCTCTAAGGCACCTCGATGGCTACCCAGTGCGTCCTCTGGCCTAGCTCACTGGTCGCGCGCATGCCCACTGCATGGCAGCGCTATTCACAGCAGCCAAGAGGGAGAAACCACCCAAGTGTCCATCCACTGAGGAATGGATAATGTGGCGCGTATGTACAACGGAGTATTATTCTGAAGGGGATTCTGACCCAGGCTACGACATGGATGAACCCTGGGAACATCATGAAGTGAAACACACCAGGCACAGCAAGACAAACACTAAAGGATTCCACTTGCGCGGGCTACCTAAAGCAGTCAAATTCACAGAAGCAGAAAGTAGAATGGTGGTTACCAGAAGCTAAGGGAGGGGGGAAAAACGGGTGAGTTGTTACTTAATAGGTACAAAGTCTCAGATTTACAAGATGAAAAGGTTCTGGAGATTTGTTTCACAATGAAGCGAGTACCTCAGCCACTGAACTATATACTGAACTAAGATAGTAAAAGCTATGTATTTTTTTTTTTTAATCCAGAATTTAAAAAAGAAAATTAATGGACGGGGGAATGAACCAATACCATTGAACTCAACACAGATGAAGCCGCCAGGGAGGTCTGCCAAGCCTCTGAAAGGCCAAGGCAGCAAAATGTCACAAAAGAGAGGCAGGTGGGAGGATGACAAGGGGGGTTAGGCCCCTGGGTCATGGTTCGATGGGCTCCTAGTGCCTAGACCACGCCATAGCAAAGACAACCACTCTATTCTCCTGGTAAGCTAGTTCTCCGGAACTTGGGCTCTCTGAAGACCAGAATCATAGCGATTCGGGGTCTGTGCTTCTGGGACACAGCAGGTGTTGGGTCATAAACAGTCCTGGCACAGAGACACACACTCAGTGTCACCGAGTCAGAGCACGAACATGGAAATGAGACTGCGAGTGAGTGAGCAAGCAGCACATTTGGGGACATTAAGAGCAGAGGGGGATACTGGCTACTGGAGGTGCTGCCTTCTCACGGCAGACCAACAGTGTTCCAGGAGGGAGGGCACGCAGAGCTACTGACCTCTCGTTGTAGAACTGCAGTGTGTTCTCACTGTACAGCGGCCCTGCCAGCTGGCGGATCATCTGTAGCGACTTCTCGCGCTCATCCAGCCCCAGCATCCGCACGTGGGCCACAAGCCAAGCCACAGCACACACTGCCAGACTGCACACCTTTCCCTTGATGTTATCTGTGATTTTCTGGGGGAGGGGAAGGGGTGACTGAGGCCACTATCACCCCTTCCCTGACCATCACTTTCCCCGGCCTCCGTGGGCAGCTAAGTTTAGCAGGTGGAGTCCTGGACCGCATCCCCCACCTATTCTCACCACAAATATGCTCTTCCCCAAGTTACCTGGGTGGGAGGGAGTAGCTAAGCCTATGATTACAAGGAAGATCAACATCCAAGAATGAGCTCCTAGATTAAAGGGTCTTCTTGTTCTTATAAAGTGTACCAAGCTATCGAACACTGGCTCTGTGTCTCAGGGAAGAGAGAAGGCTGCTGGAAAGGTGGGGCTACCTGGATGGACTCGAAGGCCAGTACCCCATTCTCCCAGGCATTGAGGATCTCCAAGATGGCCGCTGAAATGCTTAGACAGGCTTCGTGCCACTTCATCTGCCTATGAGGGGGTGGGGGTGGGAGAAAAATCACCATGGGGGAGTGTGGGATGGGCTGAGGGAGAGGGTCTTAGCCTGCCCCCACCGCCACCCTTGGAGCGGGCACCCAGCCACTGACACCAGCTTCATCTCTGAGGAGTTGTTGAGCAAGGCCACCAAGGACTCCACTTTGGTGGAGTCAGGCCAGAAGCAGGGGTGGTCAGGGTTCAGGATTTTGCCCTCCTCGGGCATGCAAGTCTGCATCCACGTCTCAAAGAAGGGCACCTGTGCTCCTGTGCTTGACTCAGACAGAATCACCTAGGAAAGGAAGAGAGCGTCAGCAGCCAGTGCCCTGTGCCTCAGTTTCCAGTCCCATTGCCTTTCCTTTCCAGCTTCAAGAACTAAAAACAAACTGGTCGAAGGGAGAAAGACAGGGGCTATGCTGCCACCTAGTGGTGAGTGTGGATGTGACCCATGGGGCACCCATGGACCTGCCAGCGGTGGGGGCACCTGCGTTCTGCAGCCAGACTAAGTAGCTTGAGAGACAAGCTACTGGGGGTGTGTGTGTCAAGTTATTGGTCATTTCCTTCCCCTTCTTCCCACCCCTAATCCTGGTACCCCTAAACCTGAATGGTCTCCTCTCACTCACCTCTGAACCATAGGTCTGAGCCACGTGGCACAACATGAGGAAGGAGATGTCGAAGAGCAAGGCGCGAACGGAGGCTGCTTTGGCTACGGAGAACAAGAAGGCTGACCCCACGGCCCGGAACAGGGCCCAGAGCCCTGGTCTGAATCGGGAGGGAATCAGGATTTGCCTCAAAGGAAGGTCAGTGACCAAGTGGCTCCTTCAAAGCTCTGAAGCTCAGAATCCTTTTCTTGAGTCTCAATTAGAACATCATCCCTTCCTTGGAATCAAAGACTCCTGATACCCTCCTTCTTCCCGGTAGCCAATCAAGTCATAAAGGGGGAGGGCAAGAGACAGAGGTGGTTTTGGAAGAATCCTTTTCCCAGCATTCCCCTCTTTCAAGGCTCCCCAAAAGCTTCAGCCAGTCATTGCTCGGGGGAGAAAACAGCCTCCCCAGGAGAAGCAATGGCCCTTCTGCCCTCCCCTGTTCTCTCTCCCCACCACCCCTCCCACAGTGCTGACTTACCGAGTTCTTCATTGCCGTGTGTTGTGAATTCATTCAAACTGGGGGAGGAAAAGAGGTCACAGCTAGCAGGGCAAGGGGTCAGGGGGCTATACCTGTCCAGAAAGGCAGTCACTAGAGTCTGAATTAGGGGTTAAACTTAAAAAGAACACCACCGCTACACAGAAAAGAACGCTGTTTTTAAAAGATTTCCAAGGCAGGGCGCCTGGCTGGCTCGGTCAGTAGAGTATGTTACTCTTGGTCTCAGGGCTATGAGTTTGAGCCCCATGATGGGTGCAGATATTACTTTAAAATCTTTATATATATATACATTCCAAGGCCCAGAGAATGGCTCACCGGATGGAACAAAGTTCTATATATCAAATTCCAGGTCAAACAAAAAAGTCGACAGTGTTTGAGAGCCCCTTATTAACAACGGGGAGCACCCAAATCACTCCACATCCACCAATCAATGCCTCTCATCTCATCAAACACCTCCACTTCATGCTCAGCTGCAAAGAAAAAAGGGCTTGACATCCAGGGACCTGGCCCTTCCCCCAGCGTCTCCAAGTGGGATCCTCTGGCTTGCTCTGGGCATCTCCAGGGAAACCCAGACCCCAGTGCCTTGCCCCATTCTGCTACCTCCTCCTTCAGGGCTGCCTCCCTGACCCTGGCCAGGGCTCAGACTTCCTTACTTGATGAACTTCCGGGCGAAGGATTTAAGCTTCCCAGTGGCGGCGGCAGCGGCCAGCAGCAGATCCAGACTCTTCCCAGACAGCATGTGGCCCAGGACTCCTAGCAGGCCCTCTGGGGACTTGGAGTGGTCTGCATCCATCGTCTGGGGATACGACAGGAAATCAAGTCCTGAAGAACAACTGAAGACCTCCCCAGATACAGCCTAACCGCAGCTTCCCTCTCTGCACGTCTCCATTAAATGGCATACCACAACCTGCAATTCATTCTACATCTTTCTGACTCCAATCTGGAAAACCGTTCCCCAAATCTATCCTCGCTCTCTGATCCATCCTTCTTAATTAAACTGCGATCGCGGCAGTGAGGGTGGGGAGGGTGAGAGTCTCCACTGCTTCTGTGGGAGCAGGTGAAAGGCCCAACCACAGGACCTGCCTTCCAAGTAATGCTCAACAAAGAGGAGTTTTCAATGGCTTCCCTGCCTTGCTTGTTTCTCTACTTCCAAAGCAACTACATACAAAAGCCAGAAGACAAAGAGCTCTATGACCTCGGTTTATTTCTCTGAAAGTAGAGCCAAAAGAGGAAAAAAGGAAGAGATGAGCCTGGAGGCAAGGGAAGGGCACACGCACCTTGAGGATATTTGTGACAGTGGGCTCTGCCCGGAGGATGAGCCCAGGATTGGGCTGGATGTTGGCATTTTCTCCTGATTTCAGCTGGGGTGCATGCTCCCGGTCTGCTGCGCTGTGGCCACGAGTCATTGGCCAAGAGAAGGGAAAAGACACAGAGATTAGTTCCTGACGTGCTCCGTGGTCCGGGTCCAGAAGCAGAGGCCAGGGAGGAAGCGTGGGGCACACAGGAGAACCTCTGGGGTTGGAGTGATGTTTATGAAAGCACACCCACTGTTCCAACTGCTTCAGTCTGTCACTGATCATTACCTCAATTTTGAAAGTCCACTTGAGATTAAAAGAAGATTTAGGATTTTTACTTTGCTCACAAAAGAGGATGGAAATTCAAGTATAGCACCCAAGGGTGCAGAACCCTGGTGGGCAGAAACCAGTGTCTGCTGTTCCTGATAACCCTAGGCATGGCCCCAGGCACCTGGACAGGGGGGAAGGCACCCAGCGGTCCACACTGGATGCGAGGGAAGGAAGGCAAGCGGCGCCTCGGCCAGCCCGAGGGAGCTCACGCTTACCGCTTGGCCATGAGGTTGGTCACACTGGCTTCAGACAGAAGCCCCTGCTTGCTACATTCTTGGAGTAGGAATTTTGTACAGTCACAGCTGTGAGGGAAAAAGATAATGAGGGGTCGGGGCACACGGCAGGGATTCCTGAGGGGTGGAACAATAGGCCCCTGCATGGTGTCCTCCCTCCTTCAGGACAGAAGAATGCTTCAAGTGCCTGAGGGATGGCAGACGGGCTGCTGCCTCCTGCCCCTGCCAAGGGGAATGAACCAGGCGCCGGTCCGCTGAGGGCCGTCTAGCACAGAGCAGGAGGAGAGCCCAGAGCACCTTCCAGTAGGAGGGGGTGAGCAGGGGAGTCGTACTTGCAGCGCTGGTCAGCTTTGTCCAGCAAGGGTGTGAGCTTCAGCAGGAACTCGAAAGCACAGCTGACGTCCTCGGTAAAGTCCTGCGAAGAGCCAGGAGCTGCCATCTGGCTTCTAGGCTCTCCGCTCCACCCACAGCTTGTGATGCAGGCTCACGGGGACACCCCACTGGATATAAAGCGTGACAAGCCGGTCACAGCCACTACTGGCTTGCAGTGACAGGACAGGGAAGAGTGTAGAGGACCAGTGCTCTACGCTGGCCCTGGGAACCCAGGGCACCTCACGTCCTGTGTGGTCTGGCTGCCTCCACGTGGACAGCGGGGGCACGCGTGGATGCACGCAGATGCTCAGGTGTGCTCAAGCCTCCAGCCTGCCCCCAGGTGCAAGGACACCAATTGGACCCTTCCCTTGACCCCGTTTCTCCCGTGCCCTCGTGGAAAGAAGGATTTACCAACTCCCACACCCCCCCGTCTCATTTCCCCAACTTACCTTGTCCCCGTGACAGTATTTCTTTAACTTCACCAACACCTGTGGGATCTAGAGAGTGAGGCAAGAGAAGAAACAGGAAGATAGATTTCTTCTCTTTCCGCCAGAACTGAAGGCATCCCCTCCACCTCCCTGCTTCGAGCAGAGAGACAGGAACCCTTCCACCTCAGAAAGGAAAGCACTCTGAGGGCCAAATCAGAAAGCTGGCAGGCATCCAAGGGTCCGGTGCCCGATGCCTACAGGTTACAGGGACCCCTCACTTCTGCTGGCTCCACAAGCAATTGCCATAAGCCCTGGGAACCCTGATTCAAGGACCGGGGCCACTTCTCTTGGCCCATAACTGCCCTGCGCCAGTCTGGCTGATGACAGAGCCAAACGGCACCTGTGTGCTCAGAGATGGCAGGCGCCTGCCAAGTCGTCTAAATATAGCTCTGGGACTTTCAGAGAAAAGACTCGATGGGAATTTGCGCTGGGGACCTGGCAGGTGGCGGACAATGCCGTGGGGAGAAATACAGGACAAAGATCCTGGGTGTCGCTGCTTTTCCTGAGAACCATTTTTAGACTGGGCGCTCTGTTGCTCCCACGTCCCAGGTACCTTGAGGAAGGTGAAAGCTGTCCACTTGAGCTCCTCTGTACCCTCGGGAGACTCGATGAGCCCCACGAAGCAAGCCTTCCAGATTTCCAGGACAAAAAGTGGGGTGGGAATATGCTGTGGGATGATGCGAGAGTGAAGCCTAAGAGGGCGCCCATCCCCCTTCATCTTCTGAAGGCCCCAGGGTGGGGGCAGGGTGGGGGCAAGGTGGGGGCTGGTCAGGCGAGCTCAGAGGCCATGCAGGACAGGTGCTGCCCCACTCCAGGGTGAGGAGCAGGGATGTCATGTGAAATGCCAGCACCATGCACAACAGGGATCCACTTTCCACCGTGAGTCAGGAGAAACCCCCTTTCTCCTAGGAAGTACCAGAAGACTCCTCTCCACAGCCCCACGTGGCCAGCCCACCATGTGGACAGAGCAGCAGCTCTGGGCCGCCCACCTGCATGCGCTTCACCATCATCAGCTGTTCCACCAGGGGCTGTGTCTCGCCTGTCAGGTTCATGGTGCCCTCGAGCAGGACCACCGCGTGGACTGTGGGGTAGCCCGTCTTGTGCAGCTGCTCCGAGTGTACAGCCAGCATCGTGGGGATGCTGAAGGGAACAGATACACAGGGCATAGTGTAGGGAGCCAGGAAGAGGTAGAGGGTAGGTGAGAGCAGAGGGGTGGAGACCAGGGGCCACAACTCCCCACCCACACCCAGGGCCTTTCCTCTCTCCCTCCACCCCAGTGAGCCTGGAAGCCCGGTACCTCCTAATGAGCGTGCCACACTGCTCAGCCTGGCTCCGGAGCTGGGGGTTGCTGAGACTGGCCAGGATCTCCCCAAGCTTCAAGAGAGAATGCTCAATGGCAGTCCAGGAGGCTGGTGGAGGAAAGGCAGACCCACGATGGGAAACAGAGGAGAGGAAGACACTGGCCCTGAGCTCCTTAACTTTGGCCCCTGTGGGCCCTCAAAACCACATACGGAGGCTTCCCCTGAGGATGACATGGAGGCCAGGGGCCTGAGGGCAGCATGCACTGTTTCTAGAACGGGGGTGAGCACCAACAGTGAAGACCCTAGAAACCATCCCCAGAGGCCTGCCTTATAGCGAGGGATGCAAGCGGCCAACTGAGAGCCTAGGTACGGCCTAACATAGGTAGTGGCAGAGAGAGGCACAGTGGGGTTCCAGTGGCTGGAAAAGGAGGTGGCCCCAAATCGCATCAGGAGTGGCCACCCTTGCAAGTGGGCCCCACTTTCTACTGCCGTTGAGCTAGATCCCTAACCAGCCTCCTGGGCTCCCCCCTGCCTCATCCTGCCGAGGCCTCTGCTCTCACTGCCCAGCCCCTCTGCAGGTGCCCCCACCTGGCTCATCACCACCTCTCAAACTCACTCTTCCTCAAGCCTTTGTTCAAGCCCAGATCCTTCGACAACTCACCCAGCTGGTCCAACCCACTGATCTCTCCTCCCAAATGCTTGAGCTCATGGTCTATACCGCATTAAT